CATTACTGGGATGCAAGGATAATTCAACATATACAAATCACTAAATGTGATTCAACACATAAAAAGAATTTTAAAATATAGGATCATCTCAACAGCTGCAGAAAAAGCTTTTGATAAAGTGTACCCTCCATTTATCATAAAACCCCTCAAAAAATCATTTCTTAGTTATCAAAGGAAAATATCTGAAAGTAATAAGAGCCATATATCTATGACAAACCCATAGCCAACACTGTACTGAATGGGCAAAAACTGGAAGCATTTCCCTTGAAAACTGGAACAAGACAAGGATACTCACTCTCACCACTCCTATTCAACATGGTACTGGAAGTGCTACCAAGAGCAATCAGGCAAGAGAAATAAATAAAAGGCAACCAAATAGGAAAAGAAGTCATCAAACTATCTCTTCATGGAAAATATAATTCTATACATAGAAAACCATGTAGATTCCACTAAAAGGCTCCTGGAACTGATGAATGACTTCAGTAAAATTTCAGAATACAAAATCAACGTACCAAAATCAGTAGCATTTATATACACCAATGATATTCAAGCTGAGAGCCAAATCAAGAACACATCATATTTACAGGGCTGGGCATGATGGCTCATGCCAGTAATTCAAGCACACTGGGAGGCCAAAGCAGGAGGATCACTTGAGCTGAGGAGTTCAAGACCAGCCTGGGCAATATAGTGAGACCCCATATCTATAAAGTAAATAAATGAAAAGAAGTTCCATTTACAATAGCTGCAAAAAAATACCTAGGAATACATCTAACCAAGGGGGTGAAAGATCTCTACAAGGAGATCTACAAAATACAGCTAAAATAAATCATAGATGACACAAACAGGTGGAAAAACATTTCATGAGCATGGATTGGAAGAATCAGTTTTGGTAAAATGGACACACTGCCCAAAGCAATCTATAGATTCAATACTATTCCTCTCAAACTACCAACATTATTTTTCTCAGAATTGGAAAAAAAACTATTCTAAAATTCATATGGAGCCCCAAAAGAGCCAGAATAGCCAAAGCAATCCTAAGCAAAGAGAACATCACACTATCTGACTTCATTATCTGACTTCAAACTATACTACAAGGCCACAGTAACCAAAACAGCATGGTACTGGTGAAAAAACAGACACACAGACTGATGGAACAGAATAGAGAACCCAGAAATAAAGCCACAGACTTACAGCTATTTAATCTTCGACAAAACCAACAAAAATAAGGAATAGGGAAAGGACTACCTATTCAATAAATGGTTTGGGGATGGCTGGCTATCCATATGCGGAAGAATGAAACTGGACCCCCACTTTTCACTGTGTAGAAAACTTAAGATGGATTAAATATTTACATGTAAGACCTCAAACTACAAGAATCATAGAAGAAAACCTAGGAATTACCCTTCTTACCATTGGCCTTGGGAATTTATGACAAAGTCCTCAAAAGCAATTGCAGCAAAAACAAAAATTCACAAGTGAGACTTAATTAAACTAAAGAGCTTCTGCACAGCAAAAGAAACTATCAACAGAGTAAACAGACAACCTACAGAATGGAAGAAAATATTCACAAACTGTGCATCTGACAAAGGTGTAATATCCAGAAATCTATAAGGAACTTAAACACATTGAACAAGCAAAAAACAAAGAACCCCCTTAAAAAGGTGCAAAAGACATAAACAAACACTTTTCCAAAGAAGACATACAAGCAGCCAACAAACATATGAAAAAATGCTCATCATCACTAATCAGATAAATGCAAATCAAAACCACAATGAAATACCATCTCACACCCATTAGAATGGTGATTATTAAAAAGTCAAAAAACAACAGATCTTTGCAAGGATGTGGAGAAAAGGAGATGCTTATACATTGTTGGTGAGAATGTAAATTAGTTCAGCCAGTGTGGAAAGCTGTTTCAAGATTTCTGAAATTATTAGAAACCATTCGACCCAAGAATCCCATTACTGGGTATATATTCAAATGAAAACAAATTGTTCTACCAAAAAAACACATGCACTTGTATGTTCATCACAACAGTATTTACAATAGCAAAGACATGGAATCAATGTAGGTGCCCATCAACAGTGGATTGGATAGAAAAAGTGTGGTAAATATATATGATGGAATCCTATGCAGCCACAGAAAAGAATGAAATCATGTCCTTTACAGTGACATGGATGCAGCTGGAGGCCATTATCCTAAGCAAATGAATGCAGGAACGGATAATCAAATACTGCATGTTCGTTCTTATAAATGGGAGCTAAACACTGGGTACTCATGGACATGAAGATGGCAACAGTAGACACTGGGGACTACTAAATTTTAGGGGGAAGGATGGAGGGGAACAAGAATTGGGAAACTAACTGTTGTGTACTATGCTAAGTACCTGGGTGATAGGATCATTTGTACCCAAACCTCAGCATCATGCAATACACCCAGGTAAAAAACCTACACATGTACCCCCTGAATGTAAAATAAAAGTTGAAAAAAAGTAAATTAAAAAATAAGGATTTAGCTTCCAGTATGAATCTCATTCTTTTGTTGTTTCAGTGTGAAGATCACTTTTTAAAATGACTGCCTTTGGCATTTGTCTTGTTGCTACAGGTGTGTGACACATTTGTTTGTGTGAGGCGGTGTCAAGAAAAGTGGGTTCTCAGATATGATTAAATCTGCATTGTTAAACCTGGTTGGGGTTTGTACAATTTAAAATATGCTCAGCCTAACTTTAATTAGATATCTATACTTTGGATTACAAGTGCCTGAATATCATTATCTGTTTAAATATTTGATATTTGGTTATTTAGATATATTTAAAAATATTCCAGGGATATGCGTCTGTGTGTTTTTTACATTGTGGTAATTTTACATTAGACTTTATTTGGGACTATTATCAGATAGAAGATGATTAATTTGTCTTTCAAAGCTTTATTTCCAGTAGGAGAGATTACATTTATGATTTAAAATGAAGTGTGTGGAATGAAGAAGGTCTGGAGTCTGGTTCATATTAAAACATCCCTATTAACAAATATTTCAGTCTAGCGTTGTGTCTAAAATAGAGCCTCAGAGAATACATGCAGCTTCATTGATACAAGTAAATACCTGCTTTATGAAACTCTAGTCTTAACAATGTTAAAGATTTAAATATGATATTGAAGGCCATTGTGGATTTTTTTACAAAAGGAGGTCAACTTATTGTATTCTAGATATACTTTAATTTCTAAATGGATTTAAAATGAATAGTATGGATCTGAAGTCTGTCTATACAGCAGGAAATAGGTAAGTAATTACAGCTTGTAGAGTTACTTGGAGTGGTAAATGATTTTACTGGAGGTCAAATAGATGTCAAGAGATAACAGCTCATATTAAGTTCTCATAGTGTGTACCTTTTTTGGAATGTAGAGAAAGTAGGTGCTTTTTATGCAAAAGTTAGCTGAGGCTGATTTTTTTGTGGGGGAGGGTGTGAAAGGTAGTAAAATGTTTGATTCCAAAGTAAAATAACAGATTTGGGCAACTCTGATCACTTAACCTAATATACTGTTTCTCTGTATTAAAGTGATATCTAACTGTTCAGAAATTAAAACCGACATTTCCGGTGTCTCCCATAATATATAACACTGCATATGTCTTTAAGTCAAATCCAGACTTCTTATTGAAAAACTAGTTCTGGCTGCCTAGGTAAGTTTGCATAGACCTAGCAAACAGAGCAGTAGGTTTCAGTAATTTTTGTAGTTCACTGTAGTGAAGTTTAATTATATAAATGAAAGGTGCTGGTGTAATTGGATAATCTTATTTGAAAACCACAGTTCATGAAATTGAGCCTGTTTTAAAGGGGCTCTGTGTGTGTGTAGGTATGTGTGGATAGAGTTTTCTGAGTTTAAGGAATTTTTGTACATAAACAACACGGACCTATATTCTTGCTGTTGCTCAATTGTGGTTTATATTTTAGAGAGCTAGTATCTGTAGTATGATAGAACTATGGTTACTCTAAGAAACCTAATGCCATTTGTGTCAGGGCTATTTCATTGCTTTTTCCATCTCAGAGAAATCAAATGCAGCTTGAGGAAAAAGAGTGGAAATTAATGATATACTGAGATAATATGTGTTTGCATATATCATTTTGATGCTGTTTTGGAGAATACTTTAGGTAGTCCATAGATAGGCAGATGGGGATTTTTAAGTACATAAGCTGTAAATCAATCCATTCAGTCAGATCATTTAACTTATATGGAAGAAGGATGAGGAACAATACTACATTTTTATGTACAGAAATAACATAAGTTGTTTAACATTCCCTTTTTGGCTCATTAACAGCTTGTGGGTAGAGGTAGCCCTGGATTATTATTACTTGGTTACCTTAGGATACTGACCAGAGGAAATGGACAGGAAAATGGCAGAAAGATCTAGGGAATGAAGTACTCCTTTGAAAAAACAGTCAAAAGGAACAAATTATCAATTATTTGAGAATGAGTTCTCAGAAATTAGGTTATATGTTTTTGAAAGCAGTGGCAAAAGTAGAGGATTTATTTATTCATACCATTCTAGTTCCAAAAAAGATTACAAAGTAGATGGGTTACTTATGTTGGTAATATGGGTTTTAGATCAAGGTGAATTGAGGGGGAAAATGGGGAGAAAGTGCTTTTCTTACTGCAAAGTTTCCTCTCAACTTTAGCTCTGGGCTTGTTCTCACCCTCCAGGGGTAACTTGTTCATCTCCTGGTTGACTAATATGTACTTGGGCTGCTCAGCGGGGGACTGCATGATCTTTTCAGTTCCAGTCTCTAATGTTGATATCAAATAAGCATTTTCATTATTGATCAAGTCATCTCATTTAGATGCCTGTATCCTAGTAAAAAGTATCTAGCCTCGGTAATAGTCTGTACATGTAAACATTTAAGCTTTTAGTATGTTATAGGTCTTAATATCAGTGTTACTGTACGTATTAAATAACATTTTGCCTTAAAGCTCTAATTTAGACTAAAACTTGTATTATCTTTTTTTTAGGACAGCCAGTAGAGGGGACTTCATGTTTTCTGCGGATCGTTTGGTAGGTGCGGGCTTTTCATTTTCATTTCATTATTTTGCCTAGTGATATAATCATGGTAGACTAAGGGGTATTTTTGTTCTAGAGCATTCTGGGGCTGAAAGAGATTGTACTAAGTAACCATCATCTTGCTAGGCTAATGAAGTATTGTTTCACTGTTGCATTAAAGGTCTACTTCAATACTCTTCACCACAAAGCATTGCCCATGAACTAATTCCCTGTATTTCTGAGATATCACTACCTCTCAAATGGATCTTGGTAACTTGAGTCTCAGCAATTCTTAAGTGCCTCCTCTTAGGGCAGTGAAGTACATAAAAAGAAAACCAAAAATGTAAGGAGACCTAATAGTTACACTTGTGGTATCCAGCGAATGTACAAAAATATATTTCTTGTAGTTTACGGCAGCAGCGGGAGGAGGCTTATTTTGCCTCTTCTTTCCTGTACTAGCCTTCACATGTGAATAGTACATTTGACTGTCTATGCTTTCCTCAGGCACTTCCTATTAAGGATTGACCAAGCCCAATTCTGTTTATCTAGTGTGATCTGAGAGGATCTTAGTCCAAAGTGGTTTGTCTTCAGGGTAAGCACTGTGTTTTCTTCTTGTGTTAATATCTAAGCATGCTCAGTGCTTGGAGTGAGGTTGACATGTTTTCTGCTGTGGATATTAGTTTTAATCCACAGTAGAAAATACATTACATTCAGGAAAGTTTAGTGTATATTTATATTTATATATAGTCTAATGTATATTTATATTTAGTGTATATTCATGAAGTTTAGTGTATATTTCATGAATGTATTTCACTAAACTTGTGTGAATCAGGCACTGTGCTAGACTGTGTCCAGTTAGATGAGATACAATAGTGAAGAAGGTAGGCATGGTCCCTAATCTCATGGTGTTTATGATCTAAATACTAGATTTACAAACTAAGTACAAATTTAGTTTGGGAAAGAAAGGAATGAACATGGCTTCTTAGCCCCAAAGTTATAATCAGATTAAGGTAGATGATTAAAAGGAATGTGAAAAAAAAGCATGAAACTTTTCATTTAGGTTTTGCCTGAGGAATTTATTCCAAAAGAGCATAGACAACTCCTGTTCTGCTTTTGGTCATAAATATTCTTGGTTCAGAGACCAATTTTATTTAAAATTACTTGAGTTTTCAGTGGCAGTAAAAACCCTTGGATAGTAACAAGATAAATGTGGATGACATTCCTGGAGCAATAGTTAGGTCATTCTGTTTTTTATGCTTTTATCAAACCAAAAGAACTGGCTCGAATAACTTGTATCTTAATGGCTGCTGTTTTGGTGTTTACTGGTAGAAAATGGTTCCTCTTTCTTTTGCTGTTCTTATGTTCTTTTTCTATAGAAAGTAGGAGTTAAGTTCATGGTTATTGTAAGATGCTTCCCTGAAAGGACAAGCATAATCTTAGCCCAATGAGATAGTAAGGACCTATGGCATAATTCGCCTGAGGAGATGATGAGTTGGACCTCTCTCTGTTCTCTACAGGTGGCTTTGAAGGTCCTGATATGGGGTGAGAAAGGGTCTGTTGTGGTTGTGGTACAGACTGGAGCTATTTAAGTTTATCTTCTTGAGGATTTCTAGTACACTATCTCCTGCAGCACATGTCATTAATATATATTATTTTATGTATATTAATTTTATCCTGAATTTGTCAAGGTTCGCTTCCTTGGCCCTCAGATCCTTGGGTTCTTTATATTTTAGTTGCTCTTCTGATTTTATGCTCTCCTGTAAGAGTTGGGCACACTAATTTCTGTCCCAGTGTTGGAGGGGATGGGGATAGGAGGTAAGACTCATTAGAGGACTGTTACTAGGAGGAAAAGATCTAGGCTCTTCAAAGAAAAGAATCCTCTTTTACCCTTGTAATTTGCTCATAAAAAAAAATATCCACAGAAGATGGTGACTGGAGGTGAGTATGCACACATATGCAGTATTCATGAGGTGCCTGGGCCCTCTGTCTCATGCTACAGACTGACAAAATCCTGGCTTATTTAGAATTGATTGTTTTAATGGCAGCAGGGTGTTATTATATGTTGTGATAACAGAGCATGGGGGCCTGGTGCTTCTCCCTGCTGTTGCAGATTCTCAATCAGTAATGTAATATTGATTGAATAAAATGTGCATTGCAGACTCAGCATTACCTTTATTGTAGTTAGCTCTGGTTGTTCATGGGATTACCATATCTTGTTTTTGGAGGCTCTTCTAGTAGTTCTGAGTGATGCTTTCCTTTGTACCACACATTACGATTGACATGAGCCTTTTCTTTAGCTGAGAAGCCCCAGTGCATTTTACTAGATCCTCCTTCAAGCTCAGTAAATTGGTTCAGCCAATGCACTCATTTATTTCCTCTAAAGAAGTTTCAGGCTTTATTTACATTATGGTGGGCCTTTGTTAAAAATCATCTGACTTAACGATTTCCAAGGTACTGAATAAAGCAGAGAAATTCCGAGTGGGCACTATTTCCAGAATAATAAGAAGTATATTACTTTTAAGAGTGCCTGCCATGACTGTTGTCACTTGCTGGAGTTTTGTCTCCTTCACAGTCTGGACTGACAGAGTGAGAATCAGAAGGCATATTGGAGCCTTTTGGTGGCAATCATGTGCCTATTTGAGGCTGGATACCTAGCAGCAAGTAGCATGGCATTTGGATCTATCCCCGTATCTAACACATGATAGGGGGCCCCTTCCTGCCTCCATAAGTGAAACCTTTGCCTAGTGTGTTCATGACTCTGCCTACTGTTCAGCTCCTGAAGCTAACAGCTAACAGGAGATTCCCAGCAGGTTCTCAACTTCTTTTTCCTTTGACTCTCTAGATCAGACTTGTTGTGGAAGAGGGATTGAATCAGCTGCCATATAAGGAATGCATGGTGACCACTCCAACAGGTAACTAGGGCTGTTATTCTCAAACTTTCCTCATAAAAATTCCGAGCTAGAATGGGGAAAGATGGAAGTAAAGCAGTCTAAGTAAAATAAATATGCAAAATGAGGAGCCTAGGTGGAGCTATTCTTTTAAAATCTTTAAAAAAAAATTCTCAGGCATTTAGGAAAGAAATCTGTGTAGATGACTTTTTGTTAATGGCTTGCTTGTCAATTCAAGTTAAAGGTTAACAAATACTCTTCAGCATGCAGGTGTTGCCTCTGATGACAGCCCATTGGGACCATAGTTAAGAATTGCTGGCAGCTTATCTTCATCTCTGTGGGAAAGCTGCTGGTGAGCACAAATGGGCAAGTCTGTTTTCGCACTGAAATTACATGGTAAAAAAGGATAGAAAGTAAAAAAGAAAACTAAAAATGATAAGAATTGGAGAAGATGCTTTGTTCTATCCTTTAATAGAAAGTAGCCAAAGATCCCTGTTTCAGGGATTTGAAATTATGATTTGGTTCTTTAGTAAATAATGTAAAACTGTTCTATTCAAAGGGTTGACTTTATGAAAATTGGGGACTGAGCTTGTTGCATCATAATTGACACAAATTCAGGATGAGACCAAGAGTTGAGCATGTCTTAATAACTACTTCAACCACTTTCTTCTGCTTTTAAGGAAGAATGGAGGCTCATAAAGAAGAATAGAATGAGGAGGCTTTCTGCTGTGGCTCACAGTGGGGTCCCAGTTTGAATTGATGGGGTATATAGCATTCTCGGAGTGCAGTGATTCTCCTTTGAATTCAGTTTGAGGAATGTGTATGTGAATATCATGTTATAATAAGTCCTATTCCCATTCAATGAAGTCTGCCTCTCCCAATTATCCCCACAGGTTTCTTATGAAGAATTAAGAAGTAACTGAAAAGTCACGACTCATCTCATTACTTCCACAGGGAATCTCAGGCATTATACAGTGTGTCTGAACAAGGGTTGCTTTGTGCCCATCTACTTTAAACCACAGACGCTTTATAGAATAAGTAGGTTACTCCAGTGATGAAAGATAAATTATTTGGTTTTATTTCCTAACAGGGTACAAGTATGAAGGAGTGAAATTTGAGAAGGGAAATTGTGGGGTCAGCATAATGAGAAGCGGTAGGTTCACATGTGTGTGATTTTTGTCTCTTTGTATGCATAGAAATGGTTGCTGTTTTTCAGAAGAGAGGCAGGCTTGTCTGTCATAATTGCAGCCTGCCTTTAGTTAAATTTCACCCCCTGTGTTATCTATCCTCATGGTGCTGTGGAGTCATGGCCTGTGTGAGGCTAGGTTTGGCTAATTTTAACTAGAGCGTATTCCCTAACAGAGTGCTCCCATGGGCAAGTCACCTTTCAAAGAGATTCAGGGGAGGATGGGAGGATAGGAGGATGTGATGATGCTATCTTGGGGAGAATAGGGCAGTTTGAAGACTGAGGGAATATGGTATAAATTCGGGCCTGGAGAACTTTGAGTACCTGACGAGAAAATATTTCTTTTGTTTTTATTTCTGTTGTTGGGCTAAATGATTTGTTTGATATTTTTAATTTTTTTAATTTTTTTTTTTTTTTTTTTTTTTTTTTTTTTTTTTTTTTTTTTTTTTTTTTTTTTTTTTTAGAGACAGGGTCTCATTCTGTTGTCCAGGCTGGAGTATGGTGGCGTGATCATAGTTCACTGTAACCTCAAATTCCTGAGTTCAAGTAATCCTCCCACCTCAGCCTCCTGAGCAGCTAGGACTACAGGCACGTGCCACTATACCTAGCAAATTGAAAAGCAATTTTTTTTTTTTTTGTAGAGATGAGGTCTTGCTATGTTGCCCAGGCTGGTCTAAAATTCCTGGCCTCCAGTGATGCTCCTGCCTCAGCCTCCCAAAGTGCTGGGATTATGGGCATGAGCCACCACACCTGGCCTAATCCTTTTAAACTTTATATGTGATGACTATGTGACCGCATAGGCAAAAGTGCTTGACTGTCATTAATTCTAGGTATTTCCATTTGCTGGTCTTATGAATGTTATATTTGTATTTGAGTTCAACTGATTACCCTTCTAAACCAACCTTTGTATAGCAAAATCACTTGCCTGTGATTAGAACCTATACCTGTTATGTGGGGTTTTTTCCATTCAGCAAACTTAATTGTTTTGCATAAGATTTATATTTTTTTGCATAAGTGGTAGAAGCTCCACTTGTTTGCACTGAATACATATAGTTTAATTTTTAACATATAAACATTCACTTTTCTCTTTTGGTTATGAAGTTCTGTTTGTGAACAATTAAATGCCTCAAGTAAACTAGGAACTCCTTTTTTCTAGGAGGTAGCTCTTAAGCATTGATAGCATTTCAGGACATTTCAGGACAATGATGTTCAACTTTTAAAAACTGGTAAAGACAATGGACTTTTAAGGTGCAGTTTCTTCTGTTTCAGTTCAGCTTCTTCCCTAAAGACACAAGCATAGTCCTTGCACCCTTAGTATATACCAGATGACTTGTGGTGATGTACAGCATTGTTTATAACCTTAATAGCCATTTGTTGATTTTCATATATATTAGAAAGATACTTGTTTTATATTTACCCTAGTGATATAGTTTCCTCTTAAAATAAATTTAAGTGAAAACAATAAATTTAAGAAAAATGTTAAGTAAATGCTAGTATTGGTAGAATTCTGATATGGCCTAAAATCTTGAAGATGGCACGAGAATGACTGCCTTTTGGCAAACACCCCCTTAAAGGAATTCAGAGTCAAAAATAGCTCTGTGTTCAGAAACCAACGGTGGTAGTGCTAGTTATTGTTACCTGGGAGAGGGGGAACGATATACAACTTTTTCACTGCTTGCAGCAATATCTTTGCTGTTGAGAAGTCATTGTTGAGCTAAGTGATGTCCCCTGATGCTACCTTGACCTAAAAGGAGACTTTTTGATCTACAGCCTTTATTCTTCCAGAAATGTTTTGCATTTTCTCAGACAAAAGTCACAAATTTAGGTGGTTTAAAGGCCTCTTTAAAATAATAGAGATAAAAATATTCCTGATATTAAAAAAGCTCAGGGAGCTGCTCAACAAAATGCTTTATTTCCTGTAATCACGGAAGCATGACAGCTCTAAAACTTGTAAACCAGCAATAAAATTAGCTTATTCTAGTTTCATTAACCAGCCCTTAACCTGGTTTCATTAACCTCCATTAAGTATGAAATATGAGCATATCAGAAATAAAAGCTGTCAGCTTCAGAATAATTATTTTCCTCTTCCTTCCTTTTTGTATTAATAACAGTGACAAACTATACTTTGGCCTTTTCTTGGACTTTCTCTCTGTTTCCCCTAATATTTTTTCTTTCTTTTTTCTTCTTCAAGGTGAGGCAATGGAACAAGGTTTACGAGACTGCTGTCGATCCATACGAATTGGAAAGATCCTGATTCAGAGTGATGAGGAGACACAAAGAGCTAAAGTATATTATGCCAAATTCCCCCCAGACATTTACCGGAGAAAAGTCCTTCTGATGTATCCAATTCTCAGTGAGTGGCTTCCGTTTATTTGTAACCTTTGGTTAGGGTTTAAATTCAACTTAGTGCCTGCCTCCTAGGTACCCTTATATAAAAGGCAAAAATAGTTTCTAAATGTGTTTTTCTCAGTTGGGAAAACTGCCCTGGGCAGTTCACTGGAGAGGTTTTATTGCATAATAAGAGAATATACAGTAGTCAGACCTTATTAGCCCCAACAAGCTTCTGTCTTGAATACGTTGAAACAAATGATTTAATGAGGCAAAATATATGGAATTCAGAAAATATATTGAAACATATCTCCTCTTTAGCCTAATGAGTACAGCAGTGATTTTCCTCAATAATTTATTCTCTCTGGAGGTAATATTTTTTCCTGCTCTTCTGTTCTCTTTCTTAAGCTTACTCAGACCACACTTGGCATGGTCTTTAAGGGAGGTGAGAGGGAATATGTTAAATTTGATAGCTCATATGCTAAATGAATTTAGGGCTTGGTATTTGATAACTCAAAAGTGTATGTGTCATGTTCATTATTGAAAATAGCACGGATAAAGAACAAGTACCTTCAAATGAAGTGGTTTCTTATGTTAGATTGCTATATTGCCCTTGCTTCAAAGACATTTTGTGGCCGGGTGCTGTGGCTCACACCTGTAATCCCAGCACTTTGGGAGGTCGAGGTGGAAGGATCGCTTGAGCCCGGGAGTTTATGACCAGCCTGGGCAACATATGCAGACCCCATTTCTGCAATAAATAGAAAAGTAGCTGGGTGTGGTGGCATGTGCCTATAGTCCCAGCTACTTGGGAGGCTGAGGTGGGAGGATGGCTTGAACCTGGGAGGTCAAGGCTGCAATGGGCCAAGATCATGCCACTGCACTCCAGCCTGAGTGACAGAGTGAATCCCAGTCTCAAAAAAAAAAAAAAAAAAGACTTTTTAAAATTAATGTTCAGGTTGCTAATGCATTTGGTTATCTTTTGATTTCAGGCACTGGAAATACTGTAATTGAAGCTGTAAAGGTTCTTATAGAACATGGAGTTCAACCCAGTGTTATCATCCTACTCAGTCTGTTCTCCACTCCTCATGGTGAGTTCAGCATGAGGCAGTAACTAGGGCTCCAGATAGACCTGAGGTGGGTAAGTATGCATTTTCTAGCTTCTAATCCGGAGGAAAAGTTTATCTGCTTTCACATTAAATCTGAATCTAATTTTGGTAATTATAACTTGTGTTTGTCATTTCTAAGCTGACTGATAACATTTTATACCATTCTAATGTTCAAATGCAAATGGAGAAGTATGAACTAACGCCATTTAAAAGAATTGCTGTTGTTTTCCTGGTTTGGCCTGCAAATGACTGAAAGCTTCCTGTTTCCCTGAGGCCTGAGAACTGCTCACAAAGAGCAAGAAATATAAGGTTCTAGCTAGCCCTGTAGTCTTACTGAAGTAATCTTTGCAGTGTGAAGTGAAGAGCGGAAGTTTTTAAAGTTAGACTTCTGCTCAAAGGGCAGAGAGAACTGTGTGTTCTCCATTTCCTGAAGGAGGTATACCTAACTTAAGATCCTAGTGTTTTTTGCCATACATTATAGAACAATTGAGAATATATTTTAAGAAAATAATTATAGGTGCATGTAGAAATTTAGCTTCTAGGATGTTTATTGTAGAGTTATTTGGTATAAGAAAAAATGTGAAAGTATAAAAATGACTCACAATAAGGAAATGGTTAAATAAATAATATATATTCAAAGGATATACTATTATGTAACTGTTAGATCATGTTTTTGGAAAATATTGAATGGCATCCAAAAATGTACATGGTAAATGTAGAAAAGCAGTATAAAAATAACAACATTAGAATAGGGTAAAGTGTTATCACCAAGCTTGGAGATGACTAGTACAAATTATGACTATTTTAATTACACAAATCAGAGTTGGATTTAATATGGAACCTAATAAATCTTTCCTTAGCATGAGAGGCTAGACAGACAATGTTGTTTCAATTTTGGTTTCAAAATGCATACACAATGTTAATAGTGGTTATCTTAGGTTGGTGGGATTCTAAGTGCTTTTCATTTTATTTTTAAGCTTTAAATTGGTATTTTTCAAGTATTCTACAGTGAATTTGTATTTGCTTCATAATTTTTAAAAAGGGCAATGTATGGTTTCTCTAGTCAGGTGTTTTCTCATTTCCAAAATTTCTAAGTCTTAGCCAGTTCTGAAGAGGCTACAGTATATCTAGTTGGGAAAGCTGGTTTCAGTAGGTTATTGATAGGAATTATGGCCTGTTTGATTACTTTGCTGTTTCATAACCAAGTATTACTTGTAGTTCAAATGTTGGTGGTAACAAAAGGTGATTTGCTTAATTATCATTTATATATATAACACAGGTGGCATTGAAAAAATTGAGAGAATCCAATAATAATTAAAATTTTTGCCTTTGGGAATGGAAAAGCACTCGTTTTAGTTCTAATAGTATACATGAGAATGATGTACTATTCTTTGACATTTATAGCTGAAAAATTGTATTCTGTGGCAGGATTTGCTATGGATTTTTAGTTTGACAGGGTAATTAAAATAGTCATAATTTGTATTGGTCATCTCTAAGCTTGCTGGTAACATTTTATGTGAGTCTAAGCTTGCTGATAACATTTTATGTGATTCTAATGCTGTTATTTATACATTTTTTACATTTTTACATTTACCATGTACATTTTTTGATGCCATTCAATATTTTCCAAAAACATGATTTAACAGTTATATCCTTTGAACATATGTTATTTATTTAACCATTTCCTTATTGTGAGTTATTTACATACTTTCACATTTTTTCTTATGCCAAATCACTCTACACTGAACATCCTAGTCCTTGTTTTCTTTCCCTACCTGTTCCTCTCTCGATAAGCTAGAGTCCTAACTTCTAAAAAGCTGGTGTGCTCTGACACATCAGCTTTTTCTGTGAAAAACAAGCATGCTATGAAACACTGCACTTGTTTCATAGTGTTTCAGTTGGGAAACCATTATCTTATATGTGATCCTTTTTAATTTTTTTTTTTTTTTAATAGAGATGGGGTGTTGCCGTGTGGCCCAGGCTGGTCTCAAACTCCTAGCCTTGAGTGATACTTCTGCCTCAGCCTCCTAAAGCTCTGGGATTACAGGTTTGAGCCACTGTGCCTGGCCTGTGATCTTCGTTTTAAAAAGGACTGTATTCACTCTATTACAGTCACCTTTAAAATAAAACAAAATAAAAAATACTCTTCAGGGGGAAATTTCTGTAACTGAATAACTATATTTTTCAACTTGAGTATAAAATAATAATTCTAAGAATGTATTAGTGAGATGGAGGAGGCATAGTCTTGACTACTGTCAAAGCTTTTCAGACTTTATAAAAAGGAAGAGATTAACCAAGTCTGATTAGGTATTCAAAGATCATTGCTCTCTGTCTTCTGTCAATTTTAGACCTAGTGGCAATAACTACAAAATTCCTGAATTACAATTGGTGTTACCAAAACATCCTACCATAATAACTTTTTTTTTTTTTTTTTTTGAAGGTGCCAAATCAATCATTCAGGAGTTTCCAGAGATCACAATTTTAACTACTGAAGTTCATCCTGTTGCACCTACACATTTTGGACAGAAATACTTTGGAACAGACTAAGTTATTTAAGTAAAATAATCATCTTGTGTAATAGTACAATCATGTTTTGATTTTCTATTTGTTTTACTGATTCAACTGAGAGGCAGAGAAGAATGTGTTAAAATGCTTTTTAGTTTTGGAAGTGCGTATATTTGAGGTTATATCTCATTTAGTTATTTGTTTACTGTTGGTACCAAATTCAACAATGAAGTACATGCAACTCTTACAAAACATAAATTTTAATAATATTCTAATGCAAATTACTGAATCCTCAGTGCATTAAAATTATTTCGTAATTTATGAGCCTCTTAGTTTGGAGGTTGCTTGAAGCCACAAATAAAACTCAAATGAGAGTCAGTTCTTTGTCCCACTGTAGTTTGCATTCTGTTTAGTTTGGTTTTAGCTCTAGTAAGGCTTCATATATGTGGCTATTGCCACATTCCTGTACTGTTTTCTTTCTGATACTGGACATGCTAGTAACTTGGAGAGGAGAATAAAAGAATGTCTCCTGGAATTTTACATTCCCATTAATGTCCTCATTCAATTGGCAGACCTAGGATGTATGGTTAACTCTCAGGCCATTATGTTCTTCATGGCTCATTTCCCAAACTGCATTGTTGGTAGGTGCCTTGCTAAGCTGTAATGCAGTGAAGAAGATGGTGGGGCATTTTCAGTAATTGGAACTGTAATATTAATTTACAAGATTGAATCGGGGATGTCTGGAAGCTGACAAGGGAGAGCCAAGTACTGTTAATGCCATCAATCGTCTAGGAAGGAATTGGTGGTTTTTCTGAAGTGTGGGAGAAAGGGTGGTTTCTTGCTGGATTTCATGGCCAGTAAGTAAATTTAAATGCTTCATTTTTAATTTGGATGTTTCTGCTAGAGACCTTTGTTTTGGAAATTAGTTATTTTGCATGTTTGTCAACTGTAGATGTATTAAAATAGAAAAAAAAAACATGCTTTTTATAAAAACGCCTAAGTTTTGTATATGTTCATCTTTAGGCTTCTGAAAGGAGAGAAACCATTTTGGAAATCAATGTTGGTGTTCTGAAATCTGCTTGTAAAACTCTGATCTCATTTTATATTGATATTAAAACATTTTAACAGTGTTGGCTAGCTGATTACTTGATTAATTATACTCCCATGGCCCCATAGGCAGCTGTTGTGGGCCTCTGTTCAAGAGCACAGAAAAGAGAAGAAGGAAATGTCTTAGAAAGAACCAAAGCTGATGAAATCAGCAAAGATTGGGGAGAGGAAGGAAGCCTAGTGTAGACTGGATTATATTTTTCCTTTGGAGACTAGAATACTAGAAGAACTTCAGTATGTTTTTCCCTTTATTTTTGAAGACTGTCATGTAATAAGTTGAGATTAATAGATTACTCATATTATAGTTCTTCCATGGCAAATGTTGCTTTCAAGTTGTTATTGAAATTCTCATCTATACTCGTCAGTTAACTGTCTTGATACAGTGTGGATTTTGTTTCCTCCTGACTAACAGAAGTTATAACTAAAGCCCATTAAAGCCAGAATTTCTATCTCCCTCTCCCAGCACAGATGTGAACCAGCAAATTTAGATGGAGAACAGATATGCTTGAGACTGGTGCATCAAACTAGTTGAAAAGATGACACCTACCACTATAGGAGTTAATGCTTCTAAATTAGTGCTTATTTTAGGGCTTCAGTATTTCATTTGAGGTGACTTTCCAAAACAGCAGACAAACTTACATTCAAGTGTAGATATAAAACCATATTTTAAGCAAATTATTTTTGTATTACCAGCCATTTAGATTTAACATGTCTTTGTTCCTTGATTGATATTTAGTTGACTGCATTTGGTTCCCACACGAAGAGCCTAGAATGAATAGTAGGAAGTATTCAATGAGGTCATAGTCCCCCCTGATGTTTGTCTTCTATCCGTTTCTAGATTTCAAGAAAATTATACCTATGGCTTTTGAAGTTTGTGTCTTTTTAGCAAATGAGGCATTATTTGTAGGGTTAATCACTTGCAGGACTCTTTGAGCATGGGACATTTTTAAGTATTCTAAATTTAACACAAGATTAACAGACTATTCAAAACAAGATTGTTTTTAAGTGATATGAACTTCAGAGCAGTATAAACTGTGTATATTCCTTACTGAAGAACACACCCTAGCACAATAAAAACAACACTCCAATAGTATATGCAGTGGTTCTCAAAACTTGAATGTGCATCAGAATCACCTAGAGGGCCACAGATTGCTGGGCTCCACCCTTAGAGTTTCTGATTCAGTAGGTCTCAGTTAGGGTCCAAGGATTTGCATTTCTAACAAGTTCCCATGAGATGCTAATATTGTTTTGGAGACCACATTTTGATTTAAGATATTTCTTTCATAATAGAAGCATTTAATGTTACAAGTTTTCCTATAAATATTGATTTAGCTGTACCTCACAAATTTTGATATAGTATGTTTCATTTTCATTTATATAAAAATAATTGCTCATTTTTCTTTTCATTTCTTCTTTGACCCAGGGTTATTTAGAAACATGTCATTTAATTTCCAAATATGGGATTTTCCAGATTTCTTTCTGTTACTGCTTCCTAATTTAATCCCATTGTGGTGACAGAATATACTTCTTATTATTTGAATCCTTTTAAATTTATGGAGACTTGTTTTATGGCCCAGAATATAGTCTCTTTTGGTAAATCTTCCATGCGTGGTTGAAAACTATGTTTTATCCTGCCATTTTTGGATAGAGTGTTCTATGTCAATTAGGTTAAGTTGGTTGATAGTGTTGTTCAAGTCTTCTACTTTACTGATTTTCTGTTTTTTTGTCTGCTCCTTCTGAGGCAACTTTACTATTTTCTGTCTACTTATTCTATCAATTGTTGGGAGAGGATTGATGAAATCTCTGACTAAAATTTATATTTGTTTGTTTCTCCTTTCAGTTCTATCAGTTTTTGCTTTATGTATTTTGAAGCTTTGTTGTTAGGAGTGTAAACTTTTAGGATTGTTATGTTCTCTTGATAAGTTGACTCTTTATCATGAAATATTCCCTTTTATCCCTGTTATTATTCTTCCGAAATCTGCTTTGGCTGATGTTAATATAAATATTCTGGCTTTCTTTTGAATAATATTAACATGGCATATCTTTTTTCATCCTTTTACTTTTTTTTTTTTTTTTTTGAGATGGAGTCTCATTCACTCTGTCACCCACGCTGGAGTGCAATGGTGTGATCTTGGCTCACTGCAACCTCTGCCTCCTGGGTTCAAGTGATGCTCCTGCCTCAGCCTCCCAAGTAGTTGGGACTACAGACATGTACCACCATGCCTGGCTACTTTGTGTATTCTTAGTAGAGATGAGGTTTCACCATGTTGGCCAGGCTGGACTCGAACTCCTGACCTCAAGTGATCTGTCCACCTCAACTTTTCAAAGTGCTGGCATTACAGGTGTGAGCCACCATGCCTGGCCTCATCCTTTTACTTTTAACTTATGTGTGGGGCTTTTTGAGACATGGTCTCATTCCATCACCCCGGCCAGAATGCAATGTCATGATCATAGCTCACTGTAACCTTGAACTCCTAGGCTAAAGTGATCCTCCTGCCCCAGCCTCCCAAGTAGCCAGGACTACAGGCATGCATCACTACACCTGGCTAATTTTTAATTTTTTTGTAGAGATGGGGTCTTTCTATGTTGCCCAGGCTGTTCTTGAACTCCTGGCATCAAGGGATCCTCCCACCTTAGCCTCCCAAAGCCATGAGATTACATGTTTGAGCCATCACACCCAGCCCTATTTGTGTTTTTATAGATTTTTCAAATTAAACATTTCAAAATTTTATTTCTAGAGACAGAGTCTTGCAATATTGGCCATGTTGGACTTCAACTCCTATTTCCTGAGTAGCCTGGGATGACAAGCATGTGCCACCACACTTGAATTGTTTTTATATTTAATCCGGGTTTCTTATAGGTAACCTAGAGTTGGGTCTTTTGTTTTTTGTTTTTTGTTTTTTTTTTTTCTCCAATTTGATGGTCTCTGCCTTCTAATCAGGATGTTTAGACCATTTTTATTTAATTTGATTATTGATATGATTGGTTTAAAATCTACCATCTTGCTATTTGCGTTCTATTTGTTCTTTATTCACTTTTTCCTCTTTTTCTACCTTCTTTTGCATTATTATTTATTATTCCATTTTATTTCTTTGGATTAGATTAGATACAATGCTTTGTTCTTTTAGTGGTTCCTTTAGGGTTTATAGTATATAACTTTAATTTATCACAGCCCACTTCAAGTGTAAGATAAGAACTTAATGTACTTCTATTCCTCCACTCAAGTCTTTTTCCTATTATTGTCATATGTTTTACTTCTACACGTGTTAAACCTTATAATACATTGTGGGATTTTGTTTGTTTTCAATACTTTTAAAGTGATATAATAAAAAGAAATAAGAAAAAAGGTCTTTTCATTTTATATTTTTTAAAATATACTTTAAGTTCTAGGATACATGTGCAGAACGTGCAGGTTTATTACATAGGTATACATGTGCCATGGTGGATTGCTGCACCCATCAACCTGTCATCTAGGTTTTAAGCCCCACATGTATTAGGCATTTGTCCTAAAACAATCCTTTCCCTTGCTCCCCATGCCCCAACAGGCCCAGTGTGTGATGATACCCTCCCTATGTCCATGTGTTCTCATCTTTTAACTCCCACTTATGAGTGATAACGTGTGGTGTCTGGTTTTCTATTCCTGTGTCAGTTTCCTGAGAATGATGGCTTCTAGCTTCATCCATGTCCCTGCAAAGGACACGAACTCATTCTTTTTTATGGCTGCAGAGTATTCCATGGTATATATGTGCCACATTTTCTTTATCCAGTCTATCATTGATGGGCATTTGGGTTGGTTCCAAGTCTTTGCTATTGTAAATAGTGCTGTAATAAACATACGTGTGCATGTGTCTTTATAGTAGAATGATTTATAATCCTTTGGGTATATACCCAGTAATGGGGTTGCTGGGTCAAATGGTATTT